TATATAAAGTACTTTCATCTCCTATCTACCAAAATGATAAGTGAATAATATAGCAAGAGCTTCAAAAGCAGGCCTACACTAAGATATACAGAAAGTCTCCAACTTAATAACATAATGGGGATGGAGAGGCTGTTCATAACTCCATTTGTTCGTAACTCCAAAGTTGGTTCTCCATTGCCTTTTTTCCCATTGTTTTAAAAGTTTTGTTTACATTAAGAATACCTGTACATAAATCCCAATAAGTATTTTTGATGGATTGATGCACAGGTAAAGCGAATTATAGCACAAAAATTGGCGGTACACGAGGACACAGAAAACAGATGTTTTCGTGTTTATGGTGGGAGGGCAGGCGACTAAGGTGAGTGATGCACACAGCTGAGTGAGCGCAGCAGCGCTACGGAGTGGCAGATTCATGAACTATATTCGCGCCCGGGAAATTTGAAGTTTGCTAACATCTTTCAAACAATTTTTTTGACTTAAGTATTTTTAAAACTTTGTTCGTATGTATGGAATGTTCGTAAGTAGAATGTTCATAAGTAGGGGACTTACTGTATAAACCATATGAACCCAGTCAAGAAGGGCATTGTATTCCATGAAATACAGATCCTAGTGGGTACTTTCAACATTCCCAAAAGCACCAAAAGTAATTCATCTTACTGTACTTTCTAAGACCACCTATAATTATAACAATAATGTAATAATAAGAAATATAAATTTGTTAAAAGTTCAGAAGACATCGAACTTGACTCCAATACATTTATTCCAGCTAGAGCTTGCATTTCTACCAACAGGCACATCGGCTATTCTGATCTATGTTGGGCTAAGGATGGACACACAGGTAACTTTAAAATGTTTACCAATACCTTTATTGTCACAAATCAATTCCTGTGTACTTACGAATACAAATGGTTAAGGTACTGTGTGCCTTTGCTGAACTGAATCCAAAAACGATGATATTCTGCAAGAAGGTTCTCCTCACTCTGCTCCTCCACCTATAAAAATAAATGTAACAGATTATGTAGGTTAAAAAAAAAAAAAATCCAGCACAGTTCTTCTATTTAAGCTATAAATACATTATTGATATTAACAAAATATGTCTATTTTCTATCCTGTTTATGATTACAAAAAATCAGTGTTGCAATGTTGTATCAAATTATAGTCTATTCCATCTGGATTTTCAGTAGCCTCTGCCGTCTTCCTAAAAGGTATCATACAGCCTGAAACACCAAGCACCAATGCCAAGGTCATTTACCCTTTGACCACAAAGCTGGTAAGATCTCAAAATGACATTCATTATGCATTAATGCCTGCAGATCTGCAGTTGCAGTCCAGCATATCTCTTTCCTCACGCCATTGGCATTTTTCATTGTAAAAATTAATTTATGAAAGGTACAGAGGTTACAGTAATAAAATTAGAATGATAATAAGGAGAATAAGATTTGAAAAATGTTTAAATAGCCTTTTACTCATGAATGATTTTTGCAATAGTAATTAAATCAATTCAAGAATAAGAAAAGTATTTCTGAACAAAAATGTTATTTCCTCATTATCATTTCAGATAGTAGCTAGTGCTTTTAGATTTGTTGAATTAATCAAACTTAGCTAATGAGATGTTAGTTGTAACAATTGGTCACCAATATGTTTATGTAACTGCACAACTGACTGCAGCAAACTTCTATAAAATAACTGCCTGGTGGCAGCTGGGAATCAGTGCCAAAATCAAGCCCCTCCCACCCCCACTCTGATCAGACTAGATTAGTGCCTAGGAAAATCATGTAGTAGAAATAACTTCAGCTAAATTAAGATTAAAAATAAAATGAAGATTGGCATAGCCCACAAATTATGCAAAGATGGTTTCAATTAGTATTACCAATGTGTGGTAAGTGGGTAACTTTCTGGTACCAGTTTGCATCTTCAAATCCATTAATATTGATAGTGACACTTTCCTTGTAATGTCTAGTATACATTATAATGGGTTTAACTGGCAGTATGCAACAAGGTAATTCTTTACAGTATGGGCACTTTCACCAGAAACTATGTCCCTAACTCCATGTCACAAACAATCACAACACAACAATCTAAATTGCAGTGTCTTTGCAATTGCCTAAAGTTAGGGTTAATGCATTCAGTATAATTGGAAATTGGCAAGGTTAGATCATTTGATATCTAAAAATCTCTACTACATCTAATCGGAAAGAAAGCCCTTACAGTTCAAATCACACTCCTCGTGAGGTAGAGGCAAATGTTCCTCAGCCTGTCATGAGTTCTGTACTAATCTAGGGATGCCAAATACTTGTAATATAATTTGGCACATAAATCCCACTTGAATGACACTCGAAAGAGAATGTGATAGACATCCCATGACCTGGAAAACCAAGAATGGGTTGCAACAAGGCAGTCAGCCTGGAACACACTCCCACCTTACCTCACAATAAAGCTGCCTGACATGAATCTCCAGTAGTCTTTTCGTCTCTGTATAAAGTCTCTCGGCAAGGGGCTCTGGAAACGCCACACACAGGGAGTACACGTCAGAGAATCTGGTGTTCCAGACGCTCCTCTTGATTGAGCCCATGGTCACCACCTGCTGCACGGTCTCCACTAGGTCCCCCCATACCTCTTCAAAATTCACCGCACGAGGCTTTAATGACATCGTGTCAGCCTGCAGGGAGACCGAAGAAAGTCAGAACAGCAAGAATGCACAAAAAGAAAAAATATTTATTAATATAGATGGTGTCATATATCTAATAGCCTACAGCATTGTATGAGAAAGGGAATACATATTCAGAAATAACACTCACTGACACTGGTCAAAATTTCTAAAGGTGCATTAAGCCTAACTTCAAATCGAGAGAGAGAGAGAGAGAGAGAGAGAGAGAGAGAGAGAGAGAGAGAGAGAGAGAGAGAGAGAGAGAGAGAGAGAGAGAGAGAGAGAGAGAGAGTGTGTGTGTGTGTGTGTGTGTGTGTGTGTGTGTGTGTGTGTGTGTGTGTGTGTGTGTGTGTGTGTGTGTGTGTGTGTGTGTGTGTGTGTGTGTTTGTTTGTTTGTTTGTTTGTTTTGCACGCATGTGGGTGCACATGCATGTCTGTAAGTGTATATGTATGAGTGAATGACCAAGTGTGAATGCTTGATGTATGTACTTGTATTTCATTGCATCAGTGAGAAAGCATCTTCACTCAAAATCAGTATTTTCACTCATTTTCACTTCACTCAAAATCTGTATTTTCTTGTCAATCATTAAAGTTATTACACCTTTCTTACCCTTCTATTTCACCCATACAGTGCCACTGCAGATACCTCAAGTAATAGCACAGTAAAGATTCCTTTCTAATAAAATGTATTTCCCACAATCCACAACTACAGATAATATAGAAAATGGGACGAGTCTTGCCCTTCATAACTCTTTAATTTGATTTGGTCTCCTTCGTAAATGACCCCAAAAAAATAACATGCAAACGAAACTCTGAAAACGAAACAAAACCGAAACTTGGGGGGGAGGAAAGGAAAAAAAATATATATTTATTTTCCTCGTGTCATTCCATCCCTCTCTCCATTCGCTCCTTGTCTTTCCCCCTCCTCGCTCTCTCCTTCCCTTACTCCCATCCGTAAAACAGAAAAAAGGATAAAAGGAAGACCGTAATAACACATACAACAGGCCCCCTAAACAGCTGATCCGTCTCTCTCTCTCTCTCTCTTTCTTTCTCTCTTCTACTCTCCTTCTCCTTCGTTAACCAGGATAATTCTCCCTCCCACAACACCAGACTGACACACTCTATATCTCGAAACTTTTCTCCAATTGTTACGTATAACTTTACCTTCTTAATTTAGGAAAAAAAGAGTAATCAAAGTCATGTAAACAATCCTCTTCTCTGTCGTCTTCTCGGTCGTTATGTTTCTGGACGGAATTTCTCGGTCTGTTGTTCTGTTTCTTGTTGTTGTTCTTGTTCTGTGATTTTCTTTTCTTTTTCTTATGATGTGATTTTCTTCTTTTTTCATTAGTTATTTCCTTTATTTCCTTTGTTTCGCCGCCGTTATTTTCTATTTATTTTAAGTGGTAGTTATTTATCTTTTTTGTTGTTGTTGTTGTTGTTGTTCTTGTTCTGTTATTTTCTTTCTTTTTTATGAGTTATTTCCTTTATTTCGCCGCCGTTATTTTCTTTTTTTTGTGGTAGTTATTTATCAATTTTTCGTGTTTTTTTTTTTTTTTGTTGTTGTTGTTGATGTTGTTCTTGTTCTGCGATTTT